GTCAGATGTATCTGTCTTGTGACAAAGATTCTCTCCTTGACCAAATTCTAGACAGGTTCCTCTGAGTTTTCATCTTGACTAGGGCTCAAACTTGGCCTGTAAAAACTACAGACTCTAAACACAAATGATTTCATCCACCCGCCTCCCCTCACATTAAAAGATTTAAACACTAACATAGTTTCCAAGACTGCGACACTAGCACCCCTTAAGTGCCTGCCTGAGAAAGCTGAAGACTACCCAAACAATTTGCTGTTTGCTCTGTCCAACACCTAACCAGAGGCCCCTGACCACCCTTTTTAAGAACATTTACTAAAAAGGGCTTACAATTGTGAATCCTTTCTCTGTCCCTTTGAGATGTGTATGTATCTCCTACAATTCAGGAGTATCTTTCTCAAGGACCTGAAAGTCATTCCTTTATTTATTTAAGTTTATTTATTTATTTATTTTTGGCTGCATTGGGTCTTCGTTGCTGCACACGGGCTTTCTCTAGTTGCGGCGAGCGGGGGCTACTCTTCGTTGCGGTGCGCGGGCTTCTCATTGAGGTGGCTTCTCTTGTTGTGGCGCATGGGCTCTAGGCGCGCGGGCTTCAGTAGTTGTGGCTCGCGGGCTCTAGAGCGCAGGCCCAGTAGTCGTGGCTCACAGGCTTAGCTGCTCTGCAGCATGTGGGATCTTCCTGCACCAGGGCTCGAACCCATGTCCCCCCTGCATTGGTAGGTGGATTCTTTACCACTGCGCCACCAGGGAAGCCCCAGTCATTATGCGATCGTCAGGAAGGATAGGGCCTCTGTCTGCCAGTCTCAGTGGGAGGATAGAATCCTGACTTCGATGATTGCAAGCCAACAGACATATCTGAGCTAATCAGCATTTATGCTGACCAGTCCTTTGTAATTTTTCATTTCCTCAACTCTACTGAAAACTCCCAGTTACCCCTATGCAAATCAAAGTTGAATCAGTTCATACTGGACCTCCTTCCCTATTGAAATGGTATGTTACTGATTCAAATCTGTCTTTCCCATTTAACTAGTATCCAGCTTTGTTTATCATCGACAGTTGCTCATTGTAGTTTGCCTAGTCTGTAGCACAGTACCTGGCACATGTTTAGATGCTCAGTAATATTTCCTCTTGAAATATGTTGATTAAAATCATCCAGTTGTTCCAGTTATCTACTGCTGTGTTACAAACCATCCCACATCGTCATGGTGTAAAACAACAATCATCTTATTATGTTCATGGGTTCTGTGGGTCAGGGATTTGAAGACAGCACCTCTCTGTTCTGTGACATCTGGGGCCATAGCTGAGATGACTTGAATGACTGGGGAGGAGCCACTTTCAAGATGGCTTCTTCACTCACCTGTCTGATGCCTGGGCTGTCTAGGGTGGCTAAAGGTTGGGCTCAGCTGACCCTGTTGACTGTATTGTCTGCCTGTGGCTTCTCTGGCATGATGGCATCGGGATCGTCAGATTTCTTTCCTGGCAGCTCAAGGCTCTGAGAACAGTGGTCCCGTGAACAAGGTGGAAGCTTCATGGCCTTTTACACCTAGCCTTAGAAGTCACAGAACTTCACTTCTACCATATTCTGTTGGTTGAAGCAGTTAGAAGTCTGCCTTGTTTCAAGGGAAGGGAGTATCAAAGAATTTTCAGCCTGGTTTTAAAATCACCGTACCATCAGAGTCAGATTTGGGGAGAATTCTCTTGCAATTAATCATCTGTATCAGTGAGGATTAGACTTGGCTGCCTAAGACAGGAAGCCCATAGAAACAGTGGCTTCAATGAGATAGAAGTTAATTTCTCTCTCACTGAACAAAGCCTGGAAGGAGGCCAGCAGGACTGGTTCAGTGTCCACAATGTTAGGGAACTGGACTCCTTCTGCCATGGTGTTTCACCATTCTCAGTGCATGACCCAAGGTGATTGCTTGAGCTCCAGTCTTCATAGCCACAATCCAGCCAGCAAGAAAGAAAGGTAAGGAAGTTTCCTTTAAGGACATTACTCAGAAGCCCTATTTGACACCACTACTTACAGCCCATTGGTGGCACACTTAGTCACTTGGCCATGCCTAGTTGCAAGGAGGGCTGGGAAATATAGTCTTTATTTTGGAAGACAATGGGTCCAGAGAAACAAACACATTTTTTAAAAAAGGATTCTAGAGAAGGAAAAAGAGAAGATTGGATATTGGCAGACATCTAGCAGTTTGAACCATACCTTTTTATTCTGTTCTATTTCCTGTTCTGCTACTGATCAGCTGTGGGCCTGGACAACGTACTTCCTTTGGCCTGGTTACCAAGTCCTCTGGTAATTAGAGATGAGGCTGCGATGATCTAATAAGGAAGCTCAAAGGATTAAGCAAATAAATGTGTCAATGCTCTGGTTTCAGGGAGAATAACTGGAGCCCTTTCCAGTCAGCCTCCTTTTTAATTTCCTGGATGGTTTTTCCTTGGGATTTCTAGGAGCAGATTCTGAAAACGTCCAGACTGAGTTGCTGAGGCCCTTCCAGCAAGAAGACCTAAAGAATTCATTTTTGTTACCTTTTGGGAGTAACTTTTCTCTGCACTTAACCAGGCTGTGCCCTCCATCAGGTACTTCCCCACTGAGTTCAAACAGGTGCCTACTTAAGTGAGTGTGAGACACAAAGCCAGCCATGAATTGAGCACTTACTGTGTCTGACACTGAACCAACTTCTGGGATCATAAAGTGACCACAGCCCATACTCTTAATCCTTTACATTCTTTTTTTTTTTTTTTTTAACAAGGCCAGGGTATGAATTAAACACAGCCTAATGTAGCAAGGGCTGTAACAAAGTATGATGGTGATATGGATTGAATTGTGTCCCCCCAGAAGATATGTTGAAGTCTTAATCCTTGATACCTATGAATGTTACCTTATTTGGGAATAGGGTCTTTGTTGATGTAATCAAGTTAAGATGAGATCATTAGAGTGGCCCAAATCCAATGACCAGCGCCCTTAGAAGAAGAGTAGAAGGGACACAGAGACAAACGCACTAGAAGAATGTCATATGACCATGGAGGCAGAGATTGGAGTGATGCATCTACAACTCAAGGAATGTCAAGGATTGCTGGCGACACGAGTAACTAAGAGAAAGGTATGGAACAGATTCTCCCCTGGAGCCTCCAGGGAGAATGTGGCTCTGCTAATAAGACTTATTGCCTCCAGAACTGTGAGAGAATAAATTTCCGTTGTTTTTAGCCACCTAGTTTGTGGTAGTTTGTTATGGCAATTCTCGGAAACTAATAGACATGGTCAGTTTGATATGTCAGCTTGGCTAGGCTTTAATCCTCAGTTATTCAATCAAACACTAATGTAGATGTTGCCATGAAGGTATTTCGTAGATATGGTTAACATTTACAATCAGCTGACTTTAAGGAAGGAGATTGTTTAGGTGGGCCTGATTTAATAAGTTAAAGTCCTAAAGAGCAGAGCTGAGATTGCCCTAGAAAATAAGAAATTCTGCCTGTGGATTGTAGCTTCTGCTTATGTCAGAGAGTTTCAGCCTGTCATTCCTGATGGCCTGCCCTATAGATTTTGGACTTGCTTAACCAGTCTCTGCAATTGTATAAGCCAATTTCTTGCAGTAAATCTCTTAATATATCTCTTCCTGCTTTTGTTTCTCTTGTGGAACGCTGACTAATACACAAAAGGATGATGTGATCTTTAAATACGTTTACCTAAAAAACCATGGAATTGCTGAAGGCTTCATGGAGGAGGTGGCTTTTGGCAGGGTCTTGAAGGATGGGTAGGAGTTTGTTAGGTGGGGAAGGGCATTTCCAGCAGAGAGAACAGCCTATGCAAAGGCCTGGAGTGAAACCATGCCTCCCCTATCCCCCAGTGGTTGGGGATAGGCATTACAGAATTTGGAGTCACATTATGGGGGTCTCTCCAGTCAAGCTGAGGACTTCAGCACTTGTCCTGGAGGCTAGGGGTTCTCCTTTTTTTATTCTTTGTTCTTTTATTTCTTTATTTTTTGCTTTTTAAAAATTGAGATATAACTTTCATAAGTCAAGTGCATGGGTTTTAAAGAAGAACTTGATGAATTTTTACATATGTATTTATCCATGTAATCCTCACTAAAATCAAGAGATAGAATCAGGGCTGGGATTAGGGTGAGGTGAGTGAAGTGAGCTGTGCAAGCACAGGGTTAGATTTTCTGCCTTTAAACTTTTGGTATTTTGTTGTCATGGATTTTTTGCATTCATTTTGATGTTGAAAAATATTGTTTATTTTGATTACTGAGGCTTATTTGGCCCACACTTCAATTTTCCGCCTTGGAGAGAGCCTCATGCCTCACTCTAGTCTGGACTCTATTAAATATTTCCGGCACCCCTGTGGCTTCCTCATTCTCCCAATCCTCCTAAAGGAAACCTCTAGCCAAGAACCGGGCTACTTAACATGAAGGGATGGCCTGGGGTGTGTGCAGTCATGGGTGTGTTTGCGTGTTTTTCTGAGAGGATAGTTCATTTCTTTGATAAGTTTCTTGGAGGCGTCTGTAAAGTGAGGAATAAGAAACAGATTACCGACTAATAGGGAGCCAGAGGAGGGTTTGTTATTCAAGGGATCCGAGCAGTATGTCTTAGGTCGGTATCCCTGCAGGCCTCCATGAGATAGCCCGGTGTAAATTAGCCTCACTGTGCCCCACTCTCCTCATCTGTAAAATGTTCCTCTCTTATCGGACTGTGTAGGGGTCAGATGAGATAATGGCAGTGAAATTCATAGCGCCCTGCACAGCACATTCGGCCAACATTTACGGAGCGCTTACGACTTGCCAGGCGCTGAGCTGAGGGTTTTACGGCCGTTACCTTTTTAATAAAGCACACAGCCCACCAAGAAGGTGCACGGCTCAGCGAGCCCTCCTGAGGACCCTGTAAAAGTTCGCCCCTTCGGCGGGCAGGAGGGGCGGGAAGGGGGCGGGGCGCAGGTGGGGCGGGCCGGGGGCGGGGCGGCGCGCCGGTTCCGGGATCCGGGTCGCTGGCTGCGCCAACGCCTCGGGGCGCGCCGGGCGCTGGCCGCAGCTGGCGGGCGCATGTGGGGGCGCGCGGCGTGGAGGCGCTGCCCGCGAGGGCTTCGGCGCGGCCGGGAGGCGCTGCTGGTACTGCTGGCGTTGCTGGCCCTGGCCGGGCTGGGCTCGGTGCTGCGGGCGCGGCGCGGGGCCGGGACGGCCGAGCCAGGACTCCCACGCACCCCGCGCTCTGGGCGGCGAGACCCGGTTCTGCCGCGGCCGCCGGTGCGGGAGGACGCTCTGGGCGCGCGAGGCGAGGCAGTGCGGCTGCAGCTGCAGGGCGAAGAGCTGCGGCTGCAGGAGGAGAGCGTGCGGCTGCACCAGATCAACATCTACCTCAGCGACCGCATCTCGCTGCACCGCCGCCTGCCCGAGCGCTGGAACCCTCTGTGAGTCCCCAGGTGGCGGGAGAAGCACCGCCCTCGGAGTCCCCGGGCCTCAGTTTCTGCAGCTGTGAAGTGGCAAGGTGGAACCGGGGGCTCGAAAGACCTGGGGATCTCGCGTCTTATTGAGTCACTCGGAAGTGGGCAGTGAAAGTGTTCATACTGCGGGGTGGGGGAGAAAGTTTTAAAAAATGAAAATAGAAAAATCTCACAAATTGACAAATCTGCAGACAGGTTTCAGATGAGACCCTTTGGGTGCCTTTCCTGGGTCCAAAGGCACCCCCAGTCCAGTTACGCCTGTAACGTCCTGCTTTGGCGAAGCTGAGGACCTGTGGGGTTCGAGACAGGCTTCATTCACTTACCTGTGTGCGCCTGTGTGCACCAGGGCCCATGAATCAACCAGGAGGGGAGGGCCCGCCTGGCAGGTGAGATGAAAGGTGCCTGGAAGGGCAAGTCGGAAGTCGCAAGCCTCCTTGCCCTCTCTCTGGGAGTTGGGACTCCTGACCTTTAAGTGGAGGAAGTCAGGAAGGAGCGGCTGCTGGGAAGGGCTCCTTCTGGCTGTGGTCCAGCAGAGCTGACTCCTGTGGGTGACACAGTCCTGGAACCTGTGTGGTCAGAGGCCTAATTCCTGTAGGAGCTGCTGTCTGGAGGAGTTGTACCCACTGCTTAGGTAAGAAGGGAACAAGCTGGCAGGTGGAGGATGGCCCTCCTGGCCTTCTATTTCCTTTCCTCTTTTGGTAGGGATCTTCCAGGTCCCTGCTGGAGCCCCCTCCTTAAAGACTTTGAGGGAAAGAGGGCTCAGAGAGGGGGTTCTGGAGCCAAGTGGGCAGCCTCCTGTATGTACCAGGCATCTGCCACTCCTCCCTCCTCCTTGTCCCTCCTGCTTTACAGGTGTGGAAATTGGCCCAGAGAGGTCAGGTGACTCACCCAAGGCCCCACAGCTGGAAAGTGGTGGAACTGGCCTTGGGGGACTGTGACCCTCCTGGCCCCCATGGTACTGTGCTGATTTCAGGATTTTAGGCAACTGCTCTGTGCATCCTTGGTCAGAGAGAGCATGAATGTCTGCAGGAGGAGGCCCCACCTCTGCCCTCACTGGCAAAGTTTGAATGGATTTGCACCTCACTGTCTCTGCTATTTTTCAGGATCTGCTCATGCCTAGCCTATGCTTTTACCTTAGGCATTTTTACTGTTTATCTTTTTGAGTCAAGCTTTGTTTGTTGGGGTTGGTGGTAGTTCCTCCTCTTCAGCCAAATGGCTGAATATATGTTTATCTCCTTGAAACACAAAGGGTGCTCACTGAGGCAAGGTCTAGGGGAAGCTTTCAGGTCACAATCAGGGTTCAGACCCAGCTCATGTGAAATAAAATCGTGGCTCTTTTGCTCCTCAGCTCTGTGATGTCAGGCAACTTATCTAGCCTCTCTAAGCCTCAATTTCCCTATCGGCAAAATAGGAGATGAGTGGAAATAACACAACCTAGGAGTTAATAAAACACCTAACACCTGGGAACACACTGTGTACTCAGTTCTTATTAGTTTTTCCTGCCTTCCCTGTTGCCAACAATACACTCAGGAGGTTGCTTTTAAGAGTCATCCAGGGATTGGTCATAAAGTTTTTCTTTTCCAGGTTCCAACTTCCTCTGTTGTCCCAGGTTGTGAAGTCTCTTTGAAACATTGTGGATGACCTGTGGGGCTTATGGTGTTCCATCTCCATGGTGACACAGCTGCCCTGTGTCCTATCAGGATTTGCTTATAGATCCTGCTATTGCAATGACCCTGGGAAGTTAATCCAAACCCAGCGTGATAAGGAGTGTGAATGCCTCCTGTCTTTAATTCCTGCAGCAAGGCCTGTTGGGTCATTCTTGCCTAGAGAGAAAGGTGAGCTCCATCTGTGTCGGTCTCAGCCCAGCCAGGCCTTGAGGTATAACTTAGATGTAGCCAGTAGTGTCAAGGCCTTTCACGAAGACTCACTTTTATTATAGTTCATACGGGCGTGAGGACCTAATAAGGTCTTGAGATTTAGCCTGAGAAACCAGAATGGCAGATTATGAGTTCACAGTCGGGGTCCTGGGTGAGAGGGAGGGTTAGAACTAATTAATAAGCAGAGGTGTGGTTAGGATCCTTGAATGTCATAGGAGGGAAGGTCCTGAGGGAGCATCCAGTCTAACCAGAGAGGAAAAGCCATGCCCCCAAGGTAACACACAGATCTGGGGCAGAGCTGATCTAGAACCCAGATCTTTTATTCCATCCTCCCTTTTGATATGGAGGCAATTATTTATTAATTTTAATTATAAGAGCAATACATGTTCACTCTAGAAAAGTTTGCATATACAGAGAAGCAAAAAAAAAAAAGAAAAATCATCCATAAACCCACCATCCTGGGAAGAACCACTATTAACATTTTGCTGTGTATTCTTCTAGACTTTTCCAGGTATAGAAATAGATTCTGAAAAATATACACACAGGTAAGTGGGTGAGAACATATTCAGGCATGAGTATGTACAAAGGCCCACACACTTCTTTAACCAAAGTCTTTGCACTACAGGGGATCAATGTGTTATCATAGGCAAGGGACTGTTTGGCTTGGTTCTTCTGGCATCTGCAAGCCTTGGTAGCTAATAGAGACACTTCGAAGTATTGGCTCTAATTCTTTAAGACTTGGTGTAGACCCTGGCCCTTCTGTGAGGCTAATAATTCACATGCCAGTAGATTAGTGCATCGCTTTTTTTCTATTAGTTACGGCACTGAATTGAGGAGGAAAAGGAGGGAGGAGGATGACAAGGAATTCTTGCATGGTAGTGTAGTAAGTATAGGGTTTGCAAAACTCTTTCACAAATACCGTCTCATTTGAGCCTAGTGAGGAGAGGGAACTTTCACTGTGAGATGGCAGCAGGCCAAAGTGGGGAGCCAGATAGCTGGGTTTGTGGCCTTGGGGAACTTTGAAAAATTATGTGAGGGATCTTCCCCAGAATGATTAAATAGAGTTTTGGTGGGTAGGGTCTAGGCTGAGGCTGATGTGCAACTAGTGTTGAAAGCTACTGGCTTAGAGCCTTTGGATTTCTCACTCCAAAGATTAAGGGTGGGTGCTTTTGAGGCTGTGGGAGAATACCAGAATTAGACAAAGTGGGGATTGATAACAGGTCAAATGCAGATGAAACTCGTGGTGACATCACAGTCAGTTACAAGGTGTGTCACAAGTGATGGTGGGTAATCATGTACCAATACTTACATGAAGTTTCAGTTTTCATAGATAAGGGAAGCCTTGAGATAATCCTATACTGTTATTCTCATTTGCATTCTGACCTCTTTAGCAGGAGAGAAAGGTGGAGTGACAGCGCCCTTGGGGCTCTGCATTTCCACCGCACATGTATGGGGATGCCACGCATGTGAACATCAGCTCTTCTCTGCCACTGCCAAGGAGTTGTGAACTGCTGGTTAGAAAAGTGTGTAAATAATACACACAGGTTTTTGCATTTCCTGAACGCTTGCTCTGGTTTTAGCCGTATTAGTGCTATAGTTGCAGGGTGTGTATCCGAGTTTAAGGACTAGGACTTGGGTGCTAGGATGGCAAAGAGTCTCAAAATAGCTCTAAATAGGTAATTCAGCAAAAGAAAGTGTTTGTGTCTTGCTGGGGTTGGCAGGAGGGAGTTGGTTAAGATTTCTCTTTTTGCAGAGAGGTAGCCTGCTTGTCTGTTCTCTTAACATCACCTTTGGAGAAGCATCACACATGGTGTGGAGATTAGACTGATGTTTCTTTGCTTCCCCAACAAGGTTGTAAACTGAGGCTATTATATTAGTTTTTACTAGACCCATCTTGTGGTTGTCAGAGTGGCGTCCTTTCTTTGAAGCAGTACTTTAAGTCTACAGAACATGTTCCTTTTGATTAGAGTTTTCATGATACCTTCTCCCATCCTTTTACTTTCACTTCTTCTGTGACCTTAGCTTTTAGGCATGTCTCTAATTAGCATGTTGCTGGATTTTGTGTTGTCGTTAAAAAAAAAATCCAGACTCACAGTCTTTGACTTTAACTAGATAGTTATGTCCATTTATACTTACTGTGCTTACTGATACTTTAGTGTTTGATTATGCCATCTTACTTATGCTTTCTATTTGTTATGCTTTTTCTATGTTTTTTCCCTTTTTTCCATACTGCTTTTTGAACCGATAGAACCTTCTGCTTCCATTTTTCTCTCTCTATTAATTTGGCAGTTATCTATTTCCAATCTTTAGTGGTAAATTTGAAAGTATATATTTAACTGAAAAAAGTCTAAAGTTAATCGATAACTATGGATCCTAGAATGCTTTAACATTTATCACCTTCTTTCCCAATTTGTATGTCATTTTACTCCACTATTTTAATTCTGTCTTGCTTTTTAAACCAGCACATTAGACGTTTTTAAAAATGCAGTATTTGTTTACGTTTATCCACACATTTACCATTTTCTCTTCCCATCATTCTTTCCTGAATGATCATCTTTGGATCTCAGAGATCTTTCTGGGATTCTTTTCTTCTTCCTGAAAGATATCATGTATTTCTTGCTGTAGACAAGGTTATTGTTGTAAACACTCAGTTTTATTTATTTGAAAATGTTTTTATTTTGCTCTTGTTCTCAAAAAATAGTTTGGTTGTGTATATAATTCCAGGTTGATAGTTTGGCATTTGAAGATAGTATTCCACTGTCCCCTGGCTTGCTCTTTGCTGTGAGATGTCTATACTGAGTTAAATTTGTCTGTCATTCTTGTTTCTTTGTCATTCATTTGAGGTCCTCTTTTATTTATTTAAGCATAGTCAGCATACTTATTTTATGCTCTGTCTGATACCTCTAATATCCAGGTTCATAGATTTCCTTGTGGTTCCTGTACTCGGAGGACTTCTTTTACTTTTTTGTAAGCTGATCCATGCATTTAAAAGATTTTTTTTTAAGTATTTTATCAAGAATTTTTTGGGTGTCCTTTACCAAGAGGTGTTCCCAGGTATTTTAAAGCTTTCATACTGGCTTGAGTGGAAGT